CCGCTCTTCTTCGCAGAGTCCAGTTCTTGTCGCTCCGAAGTAACCTTTCACACTGCCTCTCTCCACCGGCCCTGCCACTGCCAGCTTCAGGTGACCGCCACTTCTATTCCCACATGTGACTTTTGCCAGTAACCTTGAGTTCTCACATTGATTTTCTAGCAGGAGAGTAATTTTTCTAAAACTCATTCTCGTCATCTGCACTTACAACACTTCACAAATCTTCTCTGCCTTTAGGTCCAAATGAACACCTCCCCGTGACTGAACACCCCAGTAAGCTGGCCCTCTCTCACCTCTCCCGCCATGGCCATGGCTCCCACTCCCTGTCTTAGCCGGCTCTGTAGCCCGGCTCCTTGAACAAAGCGTGCACCCCGAAGCTCTGTTCACGAAGCTCCTGCACGTGGAGCCCCCTCCCCAGGCTCTGTCCTCACCTGGCTGACTAGTTCTCTCCAACAGCTCTTAGCTTAGATGCCACTTCCTCCATGAAGCCTTCTTTACGTGACCCTTCTCTTTACTGAGGGTTCTCCTCCGTGCTCCCAGTACTCCCCTCCCCAGTCACAATGCATTCCAAGGGACTTGGAGACTGCCCGGTGTTTGTCCTGTCACCCCCCCCACCCCTCCGCCCCTCTTTTCCATCTCTAGACAGTCTGCTCCTCAATGTTGGGACTCAGGATCCAGATGTCCCTGGGAGAGTCCCTGTCACCTAGCTCCCCATTGGGCATGTGACAACTACCCAGGAAACATGGCAGCCTGGGGACAGCATGCCAGGGACCCTGGGCAGTGGACAGGCAGGCCAAGGAAGAGAAAACCAGAAGGGCTAGGCAGTGGTTGAGGAGAGAACCAACAGAGATGGCACCGGCTGCAGGGCAAGGAGGGAGGGCTGGTCACTGCCGCCCGCACAGGTGAAGGAGCTGGAGAACATTCTGCCATGGCAGGGCAGCTCCTGCACACTGATGGGGAGGAGCCCTGGGGCCGGGTGTTGAAAGGAGCAGCAGGAAGTTAGAGCCCAGGGTAACATGGGTGCAGAGTGGCCGGGGGACACAATACCTGGAGGAGTGGGGGAGTCTCACGGGCAAGAGGGACTTCCTACACAATGGAAGTGTGTACACACGCGTGTGCTGTGATTCTTGTAAAAACCTCACCCATAAGTCTGAGTGACAAAATGAATGGTGAAGCTGCATTCAGGTACAAAATAAACATTTGTCAAATGAAAGCTATAAAGAATGACTAATTCCTTATAAATTTTTTATAAAAATGATTTGCCTTGTCAAAATAGGCACATTTTCATCCAAATGGAAACTTAAAAAAAGAATGAATACCTCTTTTTATTTCAGAAGAAACCTTTGAACTCAAGGGTCAAATATTTTTACTTGTGAACGTTTCATTCGTGATAGAAAGCATGTACGCATATGTAAGCGAGATGGGCAGGGAGAGGGAGAAGAGAGGACCGCGACAGGCCCCGTGGTGCCAGGGCCCCTTCCTCCAGCCCAGCCTGTCAAGGTCGCGGGCACGCGGGCACACAAGCCTGGCGTGTTCCTGTCTCGCGGACCGGGGACCCGCTCCTGCACTGGCCCTGCGGCCTGCAGCCCTGCGGTAAGCAGCGATAGCCTGAGCCCTGCTTTGGCCGTGATGTCACTCTACACCGTCCAGCACACGGCTGCAACATCACAGACACGTCTGTCTCGACTGTCAGCGCGAACTTTGTAGAAATCCTCAGACTCTATATGAGGGCACTTGACACAGTTCACAGAAAAAGAGAGTTCAAGTACAGGTTTATTTAGTACAAAAAAAAAAAAAAATGAAAAAAGAAAGAAAAAGAAAAAAGCTTGAAATTTATGTAGTTTTTCCTTTTTTTTCCCTTTATTTTTCCAGAGCGCATGTGTGTTAGCAATAGAGAGAGAGACAGAGGGGAAATGGCACCTCCCCCAATGGGGTGTGGTCACGCTGCAATTCCTACTCCACGGTCTCCATCTTATAGGGACTGTGGGCATGTGTGCGCACGCATGCACACGTGCGCACACACACCCAGCATGTTTTTCAAGCAGCTGGGGCCAGATCTTGGACGGCACAATCACCCACGTGAGATCTAGCCCCCTTCATCACTGGGTCACTGGTCGGCCACATAGTTTTTTCACACTGACTTGTCAGAAAAGTCACGATACAATTTTGCACAGGAAAACATGTCACGAATAATATGCATTTTCTGTGAACTTTTAGAAGACCCCTCACACATGATCCACGAACCCTTCCCAGTCACATAAATAACCTCAACTTCCTGTCCAGCAGTCGACATCTGAAATTGAGGTGGGCACAGAAAACATCAGGGAAGGGACACTTTTGAGAAGACCATGGTGACAGTTCCTTACTATCTATCAATAAAGAGCAGTTCACATAGGGGGGACAAGCGGGGGCACACTTTTTCTCCAGATAGGTTTGTCCTGCAAGTTCCCGTAAGGTATAAAGTTCTGTCAGGTTCCATGGTATTAATTTCACTTGAAAGATGGCTTAAATCATTAAATTGCTTTTCAGAAGGCATGCTTCTTAGCTATGAACAATACACTCGCATCAATAAACTCATTTTAGAAACGTTCACCTGCAAGCATGAATCAGCTAGTGGAAGAGTCCATTTCTATTCGGCTTCTTATTGCACTTAACTGCCAAGGCCACACCCTGCATGCCATCTCAAAATATCATTCCCGTACTATGGAAGCAGAGGACTCCCCAGGAGACGTCTGTGCAACAAGCAAATACACATAATGCAATCAAATGGTCTTGAGAGAACAATTTTCTTACAGAGGACTGCATTTCTGACTGAGCCCCAGATCCCAGACCTTTCAGAAAAATGACCCTAACACTGTTATATAATCACATTACAAATACTATTTCAGAATAAGTTGAAGCTTCCTAATTTAGACAGAGAAACGTAAATGAAAAATGACCACCTGCAGAACGTTCTGAGACCTGGCATGGTTTTCTACAAGCGGCCACTGCCGTGTGGCACAACTTCTCACAGAAAAGTGTCCATCCCTTACAGGTCTGGGCCAGTGCACACCACGAGGCACGGCGACAGTGAAAGAAACATGTGCCCCTTCGTTTCCTAACGCCGTCCGGAGGAATACTGCCCCAGCTGCGAGCTGTCAGCCTTCCTTGTTTACAGAAGAGATGGCAGCCCAGGCAAAATTAATCGCCCACATTTCTGTCCCTGTCTGAGTAATGACAGCGCCAGGTCTCAAACCCAGGTCTCCCCAGCGCCACCAAGAATCCAGCGGAGCGTGTCCAAGTAACAGACTCGTCTATGTCACTTTAAGCTCAGTGTCACTTGCCCTGCCGGAATGTGTTCACCGCGAAAGCTACCGAGCCACTGCTGCAGCCGCTCTCCTCTGCCTCGTCCCACTCACTCATGACCACGGGGTCACTGTCTTCGATCTAGCTCACCCTCCTTCTCTGTGAGGACTGGAGGGAGACCGTGGCACAAAATCAGTGCTTCTACTGAGCAGCCCCGAAGAACAGGTCCATGAGGCCCCGTCACCCAGGCTCCCCCCATGCACACTCGGCCCCACCCACTAACCCAGCTCAGTGGCGGAGTTCGGCGAGGCTGCGCTGACCTGCAGGCAGCTGCTGTCCCCTCCCCACCTGTCCATCCCGTGGTTCAGCTCCCGGTGTCAGCGGCCTTGAACCAGAGAAACTGTTCTGGGGAGCTCCCGGCCCCTTTCCAGTCCTGAGAAGCCTAAAGGAGTCTCTCCTAAATTTGGGATCTGACAGGTTTTTGAGAGATATTTCATTTTGATTCCTTGTCATTAAAAACTTGTTGTCATAATTCAATATTAAACTAGGTTTTCTCAGTATCTACTGCATTTTTTTAATGTTTCGTAATGTGCAAAAGAATTTAAAATTTGGGGTCTCCCAATTGATTTCCTTTCATTTTAATTTTTGTGTGTGTTGAGTGATGAAAGCCAAAACCCTGGGGTTCGTCACCTAAAAGTGAGCCCTCTGCGCGTGTACGCGCGACACGGGACGCAGGAGACACAGAGAACACAGAAGGGCCCGCGTGCTTACCCGGATGTACGCGTCCTGGTGGTGCTTAGCGAAGTAGAGCATGTTGTCCAGGGCCAGCATTCCAGGGGGCGTCTGGGTGAAGTCCATGGCAGGGTTGACATGATTCTGTGGCCAGAACAGAACACGTGCCGAGTTACTTCTTCAGCAGGTGCCATCAGCCCCCAGACCCGGCTTTCCTCCTCAGAACCGAGCGGCCACAAGGTGAGCCAAGTGAGCGGAACACAGCGGCCTTGCTTGCTTGCTTTCTCTCTCCTTCTTTCTTTTTATTGTACTAGAGGAAGATGTGCACTCTCTAGAGAGACACAGAGACGGGGGAGGGGGGAAGAGGGAGAACGCACCCCACTGGGGCAGTAACCCTGAACCTCTCCTCCACTTCTCCACCCTGTAGGGATCGGGGGCACGCGTACACATGCACCTGGTGCTTTTCAAGTTACCCGGGCCGGGATTCAAACTGTAGTTGGCCAAGTGGGATCCAGGTCCCTTAACAGGCCACCGGGCTAGTCCCTTTCCTTCCTTTTTAAGGTTAATTTATTCAGAGAGAGAGAGAATGAGAGACGAGTCCTCAACAGGGTCTCCTGCTGTGGTCCTTCCCCAGCTTTTCTTGGTCACCCAGGGCCTGACGTGGGGACCACGCGCTGCCCTTCCACGCAGCTCCCGCACCGCAGAGCATGGGCTGATGTTGTGTCGCCGCTGCTGGGCCCTCGGGTTGGGGCAGATAATCCTCTCTAGCGTAGCTCGGGTTCAGGCGCGCCAGCTCCACGGGGTGCGGGCGGGGTGCGGGAATCCCAGCCGATACCAAAATCTAGGATTGCTCTGGGACACGTGGCAGCATGAGAAATGACACAGAAGTTACGGCTGGGCTGAAGTGAAACCAGCAGGGCTCGGGGAGAAGGCCTGGGATGGAGCCACACTTCTGCCACAGACTCGGAAGCGGACTGGGAGGAGGCCGTTCCCTGAATGCCTCTTCCTCTCCTCCCCACGTGTGGCCGCTCTAGTGAGCCCCTGAGAACTGTCTGGGTTCCAGAGTCCACAGGCCTGGACAGAGTCCGACCTGTGCCTGTGCTCGCAGACGGTCATCACGAATCCCCGAGAGGAAACCCTAGTGACGGGTCAGTCGAACGGGGTATCCCTCTGCTCGAGGTCACCCAGCAAACACAACTGTTCCTCAGGGCGTGCCCTCACCAACACTCACAGCAGAAACAACCCTCAAGACCTGTTCTGAAAATTCAAATTGAAGTGGCGAATGAATTAAAGTTTCCTTTTTCATGCTCAACAGACAAAAAAGAAACCAGTTCCATCTCATGACCCTGACACGGCATGAAATGACCCATTTTCATTCTGACCCGGAATATTCTTTTCCTTATTCACAACAGAGCATGTGTATACACGTGTGAGAGTGAGAGAAAGATGGGAGAGGCCCCGCCACTTCATCATGTCGGACACTGACATCTACCCAGCATGCCTCAGGCCAACTGGGCCTAGGATTTGAACCCTGGTCACCATGTGGCACCTGGCTTCTCAAGCAGCTCACTGCACTGTGTCATGGAGACAACCTTGACCCTGAACACTTTTTAGTAAACAGCCCAAATGTCTGTTTTGCCAGGGAGTCTCAACAGCTCCCCCTTTTATTCTATTTCCAGTATAGGAAGGCCTCGGTGTTCACTTTCAAGGTTAAAATAACCCATACTTCTCCACATCATCCGGGGTGCTCCAAACGGTTCTTCCCGTGCTGACTGGGAAGTGTGTCTGAGTGGATAAACAACGCTGGAGACCGGGGGTGTGGGGCGCTGTCTACTGGCCACAGAGTGATGTCATGGGACACTCGGGGCAGACCTGCCGAGTAGGCTGTCTCAGGATGACAACCGAGGTGTTTTGTTTTAGCATTTTTATCTTGATTTACTTAAAAAATGTTGGAAAATTTAAAAAAATACCAAAGTACTAGGACTAATGATAAGAACCCACACCTCAAGGCCAGGCCGTGGAGAAACTGGACCCGCGGGAAGAGGGCCTGGGTTCCCATCCCAGGACCCGCGGGGTGCACGTGGGCCTGCTTAGGATGGAGGGCAGCCAGGGAAACCCTGATGGGGGTCCACCTATCTGTCTGTCTCTCATGGAGGAAATGAGGAAACTTTTTTTGAAAGGAAGATATAGCTCATATAATAAATACAATTGTAATAAAAACAAAAAACACATTCAGCATGGCCAGGGCAGAGGGGTTGGGTCGTAACCTGATATTCTTTGGAATCGGATCATCTGGTTCACATTCAATAGTGGGGAAGAGATAAAGGTCAAAATGCGGGAAATAAACGACCAGAGATTAAATCTAAGAAGTTACTCACAGGCCAGCCAGTGGCATGGTGTTAAGGCACTTGGACTCCAATGGCTGACTATGCAGCTCAAGTCCCAAACCTGACAGCTTGGAAAACATGCCAGACATGTGTACATGTGTGCCTAAAATCCGGAGACAAGAATGGAGGAAAAGGGACAGGCATGGCCTTCCCCCACCAGGGGGACTTCTCACCCCACCTCTCTCTCTCACACACACACTGAGTCCTACAGCACGTGCGTGCCCTGGGTACTGGGTTACCCTCACATCACTTAGGAGCAAACGGGTCCTCATGGGCTCAGGGGTCCCCACGGACCTCACAGCTTAGCTCTCACAGGGCAGGCACCGTCTCCTTCACAGAGAACGCGTCGATGTGTCTTTGGTTCCCACTGTTCCTCACCAAAATGCTTAGCTCAGAACAGCGCGTCTATCCCCTCCGGAGTGGGTGCAATGAGTTAATTCCCTGATGCCCTGGAGGGTCTTCTCATCTTGTTTTCCTATCCCGTCCTCTTCACAGGAAGAGAAAGTTTCACTGAGAAAGTAAGACAGCGAAACCCTCGGGCAAGTCCTTATTTCGAGAGCAAACGCCTGTGCTCCCTCCGCCCGGCTGTGTGTTTTGGTGCTGCTTGCTGGAACTTGATGGAGAAAGAGAAAAGTCCGAGAGAAAGGAGGGGTGTGGCGACATTAGTAACCATGCGGTGTGGGCCAGCAACAGAGGAGGGTGAGCCGAACAGCAGGAAAATAGGGCACTCGCTTCAAATCTACTTATAGCCCTGGTCCATGGGGATATTCCAAAAATAAATCCACAAAAGATAAATTAGGTGAAAAATGTGAGTTTCTCTGGATCTAATTCCAGCAACCCCCGAAGCTAGGTACGGGTGAGCTGAGGAGAAGACCCCCAGGGCTCTGGAGTCTTGGTCTTGTTTGAAGTCTGCACCCGGGACCCCTCGGAGCCTCTTCCTGCCCACGCAACCCTCCTCACGCACATCAAAGAGGGCCCTGTTGTCTTCAAAAGATGCTTACACTTAAGACACAAGATCATTGACGTCAGGTTAGAGAACCACACAGTTAATTAGCAGTCTCCGCAAAATCGTGTCTATATGCCAGGCGCCGGGCACTGCGCGAAGGATCTTGCACCTGGAGCTTGTTTTTTCCTTTGCTCTTAAGTTTGCTATAGGGTGCGTGAGCTCACCAGAGAGACGGAGAGTGAGAAATCACTTCCCAGGGGGAGTGGCCATGTCAGTTCCTTCTCCATTCTCCTCTTGGGATTTTGTGCACGTGAGGGCCCAGTGTGTTTTACAAACCACAGGTCTGGGACTCAAACCCAGTCGGCCATGTGGGATCTAGCCGCCTTAACCACATGCTGCTGGCTGGCCCAACATCTAGACCTCTTAATCCCCCCACCAGGTAGAGACCATCGCTATTTTCCTCGACAGGAATGAAACGGAGGCGCTGAGCATTTGGGTAGCTCCCTCAAAGTTTCGGGGCCAGTATGTGAATATGAACTCAGAGAACAGGCTTGGAGGCGGGGATGTGGCCAAGATGTCCGACGTGGGTCCCCAAGTGTGGCAGCTCTCCTGAACTGATACGACTCGCTCAGGCAGAGCTGTAATTCTCCACCCCTTCCAGACTTTGTAACAGACCAAAGCCTTTCTCAGGTTCAATAAACCGTGTCCAAATCGTCTTCAGCAAACAGGCTCTTATTAAACGAAGGCCAATTAGAAAACTGCCTTTAATTTTTCAAGACTTGCCCTAAATTATGACACATCATTACATTTTAGAGGGGAAAATAAATCTTTTTGTTGTTGCTGGGAGTGAACTATGTTCTTCCAGGAATTATTTTCCCACCCTCTCTCTTCTTGAAATGATTACTTTCCTGTTCTGGTTTTAATTGTCAGTGGAATCATGTTACAACCACAGATTTTGATAATGGGAAAAAGGAAAGAATTACCGGCGGAAACGTTTAAAAGCTTCCCACACTGTGACAAAAATACTCTGAGTACCCAGCAAGGCCAACAGCTCCCCACTCCTGCCTTATTTATGAGATGCTCTGGATACAGATTTACTTTAGTTTCTTGTTCTATGTTCTTTTTTCCACCTGTCTTGAAATGAGAGCTGCAAGAGCTTCGATAAATGGCTTGAAATTCCGCCTTGTTTTACTGCCAGGCCTTTGCACCACCTTCTGAAACGCCATTTGCTAGCTCCTGAGAAAGTGCTGCTCTGGGAATCTCAGTGGACAGCTCGCGGCCCCTGGAGAAAGGGGGACGGCTGTGTCCTGCTCCAAGGCACCAGAGTTCCCTACTTGGGGACGTGATGCCAGCCAGCTGAGGACGCTGTTAGCTCGCTGACTCACAGTGGGCGCCCTGTGTACGGGTAGGGTATCCATGTCCTTAAGACCCGTTTCTCCTGTTACTCACCAGCCAGTTTTTCAGCCGCATTCTCTCGGTCAACACTGAAGGGAAGAGCAGAAGCTCTGGAGATTAGAAAAATCTCTACACCTGTTCTGGGCCCACATGCCCGAGTCATTGGACAGCTGCAGCTTAAATATAATCTAGGCTGGCCACCTGATTCTATAAACAAGAAAACAGCCTCTGGTGGAGAACTGCCATGCTAACCTATGAGCAGGCATTCAAATCTCGTGGAGGGCTTCTTAGAGCGCTGGGAGTGCCACCCAGAGGCCCAAGGAGCAGCCTGCAGTGGGTCTGAGGACCTGCAGAGGCCCCAAGGAGCAGGCCTGGGATGATCTGAGGACCCGCAGAGGCCCCGAGGAGCAGCCTGG